GACCTCATCCATCTATTCATCTATCTATATATATAAATGAATTTCTGTTTGTTTGTTTGATCAGTGTTCCCTATAGACTCCTAAACTACTGAACGGATTTTCATGAAATTTTCACAGTCGATTTTTGAGTACATTTGTGATAACATAGGGTACTTAATTTTTTGATGGGGACAGGGGAAACAGTAGCCCCCATACAAATTGCCCCTTTTTCAGATCAGAATTGGCCATTATAGCAACGAATTGGAATTGGCAATTATAGCAAAGTGTTAGTAAATATACAAACCACAGATGTTTACTAAGTTCATAAACCACCTTTATGTAGGTGTTGCCAATTTCCAATTTGTTGATATGAAAATGATAAAGGTAGACCCATGGTTCCTTTTGAGAATAAGCATAGAATAACTTTCTGAGTCGATTTATGCATGAAATGGTCCCTATATATCTTTCGAAATCTGTTGGTATGGCCTACCAAATTAGGTCAAGAATAATGTGTGCTAAGTTTCGTGCAAATCGGTTCAGATTTAGATATAGCTCCCATGTATAGTTTCGCCCGATTTTAGGTAATTGGTACACCAAAGTCGCTATATATCATTCGATTTGCACGAATTTTGGCATAGCGTACTGAATTAAGTCTACAATGATTGTGCTAAGTTTCATGAAAATAGGTTCAGATTTAGATATAGCTCCCACATATATATATATATATACTAGCTGGACCCGTGGCACTTCGCTGCCCCTTCCAGAGGCCAAAAAAGTAAATCCATAATATGGTAATTTTTACTATGAAATGTGTCGCCAAAGTCGCTAAACATATTCGATTTACATGAATTTTGGCATAGCGTTCTGAATTAAGTCTAGAATGATTTGTGCTAAGTTTCGTGAAAATCGATTCAGATTTAGATATAGCTCTGTCCGTCCGTCCGTTGATGTTAAATTGTAAACAAAGTACAAGTCGCATTTATAATCCGATTTGGATGAAATTTGGTACAGCTCATTTATTTGGCCCAAGGGCGAACCCTATTGAAATTGGTGAAAATCGGTTCAGATTTACATATAGCTCCTATATATATTTTCGTCCGATTTAATGTAAATGGTCCCTATATATCTTTCGATTTGCACGAAATTTGGTATAGAATACTGAATTAGGTCAAGAATAATGTATGCTGTGTTTCGTAAAAATCGGTTCAGATTTAGATATAGCTTTTAGGTAAATGGTGCACCAAAACCCCTGAAAATCATTCGATTTGCACGAATTTTGGCAAAGCGAATTTTGGCAAAGCTCCCATATATATTTTCGTCCGATTTTATGTACATGGTGCACTAAAGCCTTTATAATTGGCACACCAAAATCGCTATATATCATTCCATTTGCATGAATTTTGGCATAGCGTAGAATGATGTGTGCTAAGTTTCGTGAAAAACGAGTCAGATTTAGATAGATTTTGGCATAGCGTACTGAATTAGAATGATTGCGCTAATTTCATAAAAATCGGTTCAGATTTTGATATAGCTCCCATATATATTTTTGTCCTATTTAATGTAAATGGTCTCTATATATCTTTCGATTTGCACGAAATTTGGTACAGCCTACTAAATTAGGTCAAGAATGATGTATGCTAAGTTTCGTGAAAATCGGTTCAGATCAGATATAGCTCCCATATATATTTTTGTCCGATTTTAGGTTAATAGTGCACCAATGTGCCTATATATCTTTCGATTTGCACGAAATTTGGCATAGCGTACTGAATTATGTCTAGAATAGTCTAGCAAAGTTTCGTGATAATCTGTTCAGATTTAGATGTAGCTTCCATATATATGTTCGTCCGATATAAATTAATCTCTGGTAACTTTCCTTGAATTCGGTTCATGGTAAATTTACACCATTTAATCAATGGATGTCTGATTGAGATTAAATTTTAAACCGAGCAATATACCAAATAGCGTGTTTCAAGTTTGCTTTAAATCGATTTACAAAATTAAGCATAAGTTGCAGAATGACATGTGTAGGCATTGATGTTAGTCGGTTTAGATATAGATAAATTTCACATATTTAAGTTCGTTCAATTTCATGTCAATGTTCCTTCAAAATGGCGACGTCTGTTAGGATACATATGTAGAATATACCCAAAATGGTGAAGGGTATCATATAGTCGGCCCAGTCCGAATTTACTTTCCTTATTGTTTTTTTTCAGTTTGTGAAAACATATTTACTTTGGAAGAAATGTTATTTGGCTTAAAAAACACTGAAGTGAATATTGTGAATTTTAATTATAAATCTTTTGATCATCTAGAAGGCACGTTAAAAGTCGAACACTGGGATATGATAAATTTAGATACCTTTAATTTTTATTCGCTGATCCTATTACTGATAACAAAAACATCCATCTAAGTCGTTTTATGTACTGCGTTCTGTGCATTATTTTCATGTAAATTTTTTCAAGCCAAAAGCTTTGGGATTTTGTTCTCATAATCATAATCCCTCATCATTCAATATATTCCTAGATCAGCGCAAAATTATTGTTGTACAGCAACTGCTTTAGCGGGGAAAGATTGCAACACTTTGCGTAGAATTTTTGCATCTAATTTATATTTAACGCAACGTGTAAAGTTAATACTGGCAAATGCTCTGTTAATATCGCTGCTCTTATATGGACTTGGAGTGTATTCAGGATCCATTGATTTACATGTTAATAAGCTAAGCGAATAATTAATTATTTATAATCTACGTAGTGACAATCCCGTGTCGGAATATGTTACTCGCTTTCTTGGATGTTGTTTTGAAAAAAATTATTCAGTATATATATTACAGTGGACACTTAAGGATGTTATTTTCTTTTACACACTCCTCCAGAAACCTCAATATTTTGATACCTCGAATTTTGAATATTTGCGCGATGTTGGAATGCACTGCCACTTGAGTTACGGGTTTTTCTCACAGCAATAATGCTATACGTTTAAAAATTCTAAGTCAGTTACACATTTCATAGTAAAAATTACCATATTATGGATTTACTTTTTTGGCCTTTGGCCGGGGCAGCGAAGTGCCACGGGTCCAGCTAGTTACTTATATTTCATTTGAGAAACGAAAAATATTTATTTAACCATAAAATTCATTGTGGATTTGGATTTCGCCGACCCAGTAGCGGATACATGGCAGTTCTCTTATATTTCAAAATATTCATTAAAATACAATAACAAAATACTGGTCTTAAGAAATTCAATCATAATCGAAACATCAAAAGATGTCTCCTATATCTTTGATTTTTATCAAACCAACCCACATAACATTTGATTAATAACATAACTAAAAATATAAACCAAAGAAAACATCCACCACACAACATGTTGCATAGCTCATACTCACCTGACGCATTGCTGTCAGAAATCCTTGTGGATTGAAGAAGCCTGTCATCCAAAAGACCTGTTTTCCCGCAACGAGTAAGGCATGCAACAGAAATTCAAAAGGAAATGGAGAATAGAAAACATACATCAGATGACATAAAAATGACACAGATTAAAGATATTTGATGTCACGTTACTTTACGCAGTTTGACAAATTAAAATAGGAAAAACGTCATGTGCAGCGTTAAGAGTTTGCATAAATCATTGCAAAAATAAAATTAAAACGTAAAACCAGCATAAATATGTGTATTTAGCAAACCAACTGATGACAAGTATTTAAATTTAATTACGATTTTATTTAAATCAGAACACTCGCACACACATACTCACCCACCCATGTATGTATATGGGTGGTTATTTTCAGTTTACACAAATTTGTGTCATCTGCTCCGTTTATTTAGTTTACAACTAAAACTTACATTGGCGGTTTGTGTCTCTGTGTGTTTGTGTGCTCGATGCTTTTAACTAAAATTCCATAGTTTGAGTGGACACATAAGTGCATAACTTACCTTTGGACGATCCGTTGATATCCAGGTACGGAATTGTGCATTACGCTCCAGTAGTTCGGTATACCAAAAGCCCAAAGTTGTTGACTCCCAGGATATCTGCAAATGACAGGAATTTCACCGTGAGAGAGATAAAAAATGAGATAAAACAAATTGTAATGTCGTCCGTACGACTGTCTGTTTGTTTTAGCTGTTGCTGCCACCATTTTATATTTCTGAATTTATTTTTTTCTTGTCGCTTCGTTGCATTTTTACAGAAAAACATTTCAATATCTATGTTAATAAATGAAAGTGAAAGTTATGCAATAGCGTTTTTAAAAATATATAAAATGGGCCAGAACATTTAATCTTTGATGGAATGCCTTTTGTAATAAAGACGTTTCCATGACATATTTACAAATTCATGTACAATTATGAATAATGAAAAAAGAGATTAGTATGAGATTGTAAGGGGTGTGGGAATACGCTACAACAACATTGCGTTATGATGACCTATCGATGTGTAATTAATTTTTTTTGGTACTTATTTTATTATTATTATTTTTTTTTTGTAAAACTAAATCGGTGTTAACAATATTACAACTTACAGGCTTTATTATTCGATTTGAATGTATATGGTTTTATCAAATAGTTGGCCATCTGTCAAGTGTTACCTGATGAATGATGAATAACGTAGATTTAAAAAAAATGTTAATGGTCTTCAAAAGTCTTAGTCATAATGAGGTATCAAGGCGTGGATTTTTAAAAGAACTTTCATAGTTATAATGAGGTCTCATAGTTATAATGAGGTCTCAAAGCGTGGATTTTTAAAATAACTTTCATAGTTATAATGAGGTCTCATAGTCATAATGAGGTCTCAAGGCGTGGATTTTTAAAAGAACTTTCATAGTCATAATTAGGTCTCAAGGCGTGGATTTTTAAAAGAACTTTCATAGTCATAATGAGGTCTCAAGGCGTGGATTTTTAAAAGAACTTTCATAGTCATAATGAGGTCTCAAGGCGTGGATTTTTAAAAGAACTTTCATAGTCATAATGAGGTCTCAAGGCGTGGATTTTTAAAAGAACTTTCATAGTCATAATGAGGTCTCAAGGCGTGGATTTTTAAAAGAACTTTCATAGTCATAATGAGGTCTCAAGCCGTGGATTTTTAAAAGAACTTTCATAGTCATAATGAGGTCTCAAGGCGTGGATTTTTAAAAGAACTTTCATAGTCATAATGAGGTCCCAAGGCGTGGATTTTTAAAAGAACTTTCATAGTCATAATGAGGTCCCAAGGCGTGGATTTTTAAAAGAACTTTCATAGTCATAATGAGGTCCCAAGGCGTGGATTTTTAAAAGAACTTTCATAGTCATAATGAGGTCTCAAGGCGTGGATTTTTAAACTAACTTTCATAGTCATAATGAGGTATCAAGGCGTGGATTTTTAAAATAACTTTCATAGTCATAATGAGGTATCAAGGCGTGGATTTTTAAAAGAACTTTCATAGTCATAATGAGGTATCAAGGCGTGGATTTTTAAAAGAACTTTCATAGTTATAATGAGGTCTCATAGTCATAATGAGGTCTCAAAGCGTGGATTTTTAAAAGAACTTTCATAGTCATAATGAGGTATCAAGGCGTGGATTTTTAAAAGAACTTTCATAGTTATAATGAGGTCTCATAGTCATAATGAGGTCTCAAAGCGTGGATTTTTAAAAGAACTTTCATAGTTATAATGAGGTCTCATAGTCATAATGAGGTCTCAAGGCGTGGATTTTTAAAAGAACTTTCATAGTCATAATGAGGTCTCAAGGCATGGATTTTTAAAAGAACTTTCATAGTCATAATGAGGTCTCAAGGCGTGGATTTTTAAAAGAACTTTCATAGTGATAATGAGGTCTCAAGGCGTGGATTTTTAAAAGAACTTTCATAGTCATAATGAGGTCTCAAGGCGTAAATTTTTAAAAGAACTTTCATAGTCATAATGAGGTCCCAAGGCGTGGATTTTTAAAAGAACTTTCATAGTCATAATGAGGTATCAAGGCGTGGATTTTTACAAGAATTTTCATAGTCATAATGAGGTATCAAGGCGTGGATTTTTAAAAGAACGTTCATAGTCATAATGAGGTCTCAGGGCGTGGATTTTTAAAAGAACGTTCATAGTCATAATGAGGTCTCAAGGCGTGGATTTTTAAAAGAACTTTCATAGTCATAATGAGGTCTCAAGGCGTGGATTTTTAAAAGAACTTTCATAGTCATAATGAGGTCTCAAGGCGTGGATTTTTAAAAGAACTTTCATAGTCATAATGGTCTCAAGGCGTGGATTTTTAAAAGAACTTTCATCGTCATAATGAGGTCCCAAGGCGTGGATTTTTAAAAGAACTTTCATAGTCATAATGAGGTCCCAAGGCGTGGATTTTTAAAAGAACTTTCATAGTCATAATGAGGTCTCAAGGCGTGGATTTTTAAAAGAACTTTCATAGTCATAATGAGGTCCCAAGGCGTGGATTTTTAAAAGAACTTTCATAGTCATAATGAGGTCCCAAGGCGTGGATTTTTAAAAGAACTTTCATAGTCATAATGAGGTCCCAAGGCGTGGATTTTTAAAAGAACTTTCATAGTCATAATGAGGTCTCAAGGCGTGGATTTTTAAAAGAACTTTCATAGTCATAATGAGGTCCCAAGGCGTGGATTTTTAAAAGAACTTTCATAGTCATAATGAGGTCTCAAGGCGTGGATTTTTAAACTAACTTTCATAGTCATAATGAGGTATCAAGGCGTGGATTTTTAAAATAACTTTCATAGTCATAATGAGGTATCAAGGCGTGGATTTTTAAAAGAACTTTCATAGTCATAATGAGGTATCAAGGCGTGGATTTTTAAAAGAACTTTCATAGTTATAATGAGGTCTCATAGTCATAATGAGGTCTCAAAGCGTGGATTTTTAAAAGAACTTTCATAGTCATAATGAGGTATCAAGGCGTGGATTTTTAAAAGAACTTTCATAGTTATAATGAGGTCTCATAGTCATAATGAGGTCTCAAAGCGTGGATTTTTAAAAGAACTTTCATAGTTATAATGAGGTCTCATAGTCATAATGAGGTCTCAAGGCGTGGATTTTTAAAAGAACTTTCATAGTCATAATGAGGTCTCAAGGCATGGATTTTTAAAAGAACTTTCATAGTCATAATGAGGTCTCAAGGCGTGGATTTTTAAAAGAACTTTCATAGTGATAATGAGGTCTCAAGGCGTGGATTTTTAAAAGAACTTTCATAGTCATAATGAGGTCTCAAGGCGTAAATTTTTAAAAGAACTTTCATAGTCATAATGAGGTCCCAAGGCGTGGATTTTTAAAAGAACTTTCATAGTCATAATGAGGTATCAAGGCGTGGATTTTTACAAGAATTTTCATAGTCATAATGAGGTATCAAGGCGTGGATTTTTAAAAGAACGTTCATAGTCATAATGAGGTCTCAGGGCGTGGATTTTTAAAAGAACGTTCATAGTCATAATGAGGTCTCAAGGCGTGGATTTTTAAAAGAACTTTCATAGTCATAATGAGGTCTCAAGGCGTGGATTTTTAAAAGAACTTTCATAGTCATAATGAGGTCTCAAGGCGTGGATTTTTAAAAGAACTTTCATAGTCATAATGGTCTCAAGGCGTGGATTTTTAAAAGAACTTTCATCGTCATAATGAGGTCCCAAGGCGTGGATTTTTAAAAGAACTTTCATAGTCATAATGAGGTCCCAAGGCGTGGATTTTTAAAAGAACTTTCATAGTCATAATGAGGTCTCAAGGCGTGGATTTTTAAAAGAACTTTCATAGTCATAATGAGGTCCCAAGGCGTGGATTTTTAAAAGAACTTTCATAGTCATAATGAGGTCCCAAGGCGTGGATTTTTAAAAGAACTTTCATAGTCATAATGAGGTCCCAAGGCGTGGATTTTTAAAAGAACTTTCATAGTCATAATGAGGTCTCAAGGCGTGGATTTTTAAAAGAACTTTCATAGTCATAATGAGGTCTCAAGGCGTGGATTTTTAAAAGAACTTTCATAGTCATAATGAGGTCTCAAGGCGTGGATTTTTAAAAGAACTTTCATAGTCATAATGAGGTCTCAAGGCGTGGATTTTTAAAAGAACTTTCATAGTCATAATGAGGTCTCAAGGCGTGGATTTTTAAAAGAACTTTCATAGTCATAATGAGGTCTCAAGGCGTGGATTTTTAAAAGAACTTTCATAGTCATAATGAGGTCTCAAGGCGTGGATTTTTAAAAGAACTTTCATAGTCATAATGAGGTCTCAAGGCGTGGATTTTTAAAAGAACTTTCATAGTCATAATGAGGTCCCAAGGCGTGGATTTTTAAAAGAACTTTCATAGTCATAATGAGGTCCCAAGGCGTGGATTTTTAAAAGAACTTTCATAGTCATAATGAGGTCCCAAGGCGTGGATTTTTAAAAGAACTTTCATAGTCATAATGAGGTCTCAAGGCGTGGATTTTTAAAAGAACTTTCATAGTCATAATGAGGTCCCAAGGCGTGGATTTTTAAAAGAACTTTCATAGTCATAATGAGGTCTCAAGGCGTGGATTTTTAAAAGAACTTTCATAGTCATAATGAGGTCCCAAGGCGTGGATTTTTAAAAGAACTTTCACAGTCATAATGAGGTCCCAAGGCGTGGATTTTTAAAAGAACTTTCACAGTCATAATGAGGTCTCAAGGCGTGGATTTTTAAAAGAACTTTCATAGTCATAATGAGGTCCCAAGGCGTGGATTTTTAAAAGAACTTTCATAGTCATAATGAGGTCCCAAGGCGTGGATTTTTAAAAGAACTTTCATAGTCATAATGAGGTCTCAAGGCGTGGATTTTTAAAAGAACTTTCATAGTCATAATGAGGTCTCAAGGCGTGGATTTTTAAAAGAACTTTCATAGTCATAATGAGGTCTCAAGGCGTGGATTTTTAAAAGAACTTTCATAGTCATAATGAGGTCTCAAGGCGTGGATTTTTAAAAGAACTTTCATAGTCATAATGAGGTCTCAAGGCGTGGATTTTTAAAAGAACTTTCATAGTCATAATGAGGTCTCAAGGCGTGGATTTTTAAAAGAACTTTCATAGTCATAA